ATTTAGCACATTTTGTATCTTTACTGTGTATATATGCACAGCTGCTGTCTCCAGAATGCACAGTTATGATTCACAAAGTAGCCAAGTTTATTGTTGTTACTCTGTGCCACATATGGCAGTCCAACAACCCGTGCTGTTTCATTTCAGTAATATCATAGTGTACCTTAAGAAATTAAGACTGTGATAATAAATTAACATAACTGTATTTTGCAAATAACCGCTTCACTAGCATACTGTTCAGATTTTGCAGCCTGACTTTTATTACCGGCTACTTAATAATAGCAGAATTAAAGTTCTTTGTATTTCTTTATCTCTGTTTTGAAAAGGATCATCTCCTTTGAGTTTTTAAGTGTTACTCTGGATCTTACAGTGCCTGTTTATGTTTTTTTTCCCCAAACTATAAATATTTCTTGACTTAAAAAAGAATTCAGGTTTTGCTTAGCAATTTTTTCAGAATATTACTTAGGACGTTTTTGTCACTCAGTGGGGAAGCATTTGTGCTGGGCAGGTTCTTTAGGAGAGCATTGAGACAGCAGTAGCCTCTGAGTTCAGCATAAATAGAATTAATTTCTCATTAGCTGTCCCCAAACTGTCTTGATTTTCTTGTGTATATCTTAATATTTTGTACGGTATCACACTTCTCTCTATGTTTTAACATATTCTTTCACCTAGGACTCAGGTCCCACAGCTGTTTCTCCTGTAGTGATAGATCTTTGATTTGTTTTCATGCAAATTTTACCAAGGCTGCCTTAGGCACTGCGGTAGTGTTCATTGTCAGTGTGTAATGGGGTCAAATACCCTTCTCTGGGTATGTCAGCCTCAGTCTTCAATGGATACAGAGGATCGGCCAGTAGCAGAAAAGATGTCACTTCAACACACAAGAGGGTGTCTTTTTTTGTGGGCCTTATCCGGGATTCTACCTGTGAATTAGACTTGTAACTCTCAGGGCTCATTTTAAACTATTGTTCACACCTGGAATGTTTTGAGATAAGAGAATCTGTGACTCTACACAGCTTTTCACTCTTCAGGTATTTTAAGGTGTTTGTGGGGTTTTTGCCTTCTGTGTCATGAAGGATCATCTGCAGGCGTTATTTAACTCTGCTTTTTTCAGGTATATGGGGACATTGGCAATGCCTTCATCTCTCCTGTCTTCTTCCTGTACGTTTAACGAGGTGTTTTTATAAAGATGTTGGAAAGTTTTGGAATCTTATATATGGTTCATGCTGTTGTAGAACAGATGTTCTACAGATGGGCCTATCTACATTTCACATCTATTGTGATATTGCAGAAGACTGGGCTCAATGACACAGCCGGTCCTGTGCTCCCTTCGGTGGACAGGTAACCAGAAAACAGAACTGGATCCATCTCCGTCCCCCTTGACTGTCCCAGTGGACAACTGCAGTATATAACTTTGGCAGCGTAAAGAGGATTTTAGATAATGATTTGGAGCTATAATGGCTTCATAACTATGCAGAAACTGCTTTTTATAGTACTCGCTCCACAACCTCCCTTTACTTCACTGAGACCCTCAATTAAAACAGTATTTGTGAACAGCTTCTGAGGATCTCTGCTCAGCAGCTCTGTGTGTCTTGATCTTTCCTTCTGAAAGCTTCAGAATCCACAGGAGATTCTTTGGCATTTAGGAGTCCTGCCAGAGTAAAGTCTGGACTCCGGTGGCATTTTTGGAAAATGGGAGGTAAGCAGCAGAGAATCAAGACAGTCTGCTGAAGGAAGGGTATCTGAAAGGAAGGCATTTTGGGGACAGGATGATGGAGCTAAGTAGCGTGGGAGAGAGGGCACTGCCTAAGATTTTGCCAGTAATTTGGCTTGCACTTCAAAGTTTGCAAGACTTCCTGCAGATTTTCCATGAGCCACCATGACCCCTAGTCTACCTTAAATTGCTCCTGGTCATCGTGACACTCTGAATTTACCAGCGGTCAGCTTCCCAAATTCGTCTCACTTAATAGTTCTCATGTATTGGCTCTTCCCAAGATCCACTGCAGAAAACTAATTTAATATTTCTAGGTGTACCAGAAGGATCTGAAAAACTGCATCATAACTCGCTTATTGACCATGCTTTTCTGAAAGATTCTTAAAAGACTTGCAAGCAGTTTAAATTTCAGTAAAAATAGCAACAACAATGATAATGACAATGTGCTAGACTGACCCTGCCTATGCAGAATGTGAAGTCAGAAGGACCTTTCTTGAGGTTTTGGGGAAATGGAAAATAGTGTTATGTGATTCTCAGCACGAATTATAACTTCTCACATATTCATAAGTAGGTTTTTAAAGACTAAATGATTTTGTATTATAGCAGCTAATGAATGCAGTTTAGAATGCAGTTCAGAATCAGGGTAACAGCAGAAGTTAGGGTAAATTCCTGTATTTCTCCTTTATCTTGTGAATGCCAGAAAATCTCTACTGTTTGCAAAATATCAGTATGCAACACAAACAAATGCATGTTGCAGTTACCCACTTCATAACAAAGTGTGTGTTTCCACAGACAGAAACTCAAGTGCCTGTTATAAACTACAGTCCTGAAACTCCACTAAGGCGTATGATCCTATCCACTATCCTACCAGCATCAATCCTGCTCAGCAAAGAAATCGGAAATGCTCTATTAAATAGTCTTTTTCATGCCAGCGCCTTGACAGAATTGGCCTGAAAGAAATGTTTCTGAAGAACTGTTGCTCTCTTTAAAGATAAAATTCTGTTTTTCCTGACTTTAGTCTTTATGAAAATTGCTGGACTGACAGCCCTAAAAACTGATGTCATCTGTCTGTTTAGATTACAGAGAGCATTAAGCATAATTTCTTGTAAATGATTCAACCCTGGCGTGAATATAGTTTGGTTTCCACCTACACTCACATCCAAGCAACTCTGATGAAACAGCCAGTGGTACTAATTGGTGGGTTTATTTTGCAACGTTGATTACTGTCTGCTAGGAAAGGGATCAAGCCCACCACCTGATTTTCCACAGATCACCAAACAACTGAGAGGTGATAACAATTTGGTCCTTGCCAAACTGGACAGATGGAGTTCAACCACTGAGTGTTCTCTAAGCTCTCTATTCAACCGTTCCCTACTTCTAAATGTTTCTGCAACAGCAAAAAACTCTCAAAAAACCCAAATCTTACCTTTTTATGAGCTACCATGTGTGAAATTACTGCTCTAATCATATATATACTGTAAAATTACACCACAAATAAAAAAAATGTGAGAAAATTATGGAATATTCTGTCATCGTAATAAGAAGACGTTTTTCTACATGTTACACCAGATATGTCTATAGGTTCATGAGCAGAACTGGAGCAGGAGGCTCATCCTAGGCTGCACATTTTCAGGAGTTGTTCTCTAACTTGTGTTCCAGCCTTTCTGGCACTCTGCCATTGCTGTAGGTGGTAGCGGAGCTGTGGGCAGACGTTTGTCACTAGTCATCTAAAGCTAATTGGAACATGCAATAACAGTAAAAACACTTGTCCAGCCTACATTACTGTTCCCACATTGCCAAATTAATGGGAGTCACACTGGAGCTAGAGGACACTGGAAAAAAATGCAAGAGCACATTGGTCTTGTGCGGTATAGACAGGTGACAATCTAAGAATTGCACTGCTTTGAGGATGGACTGTGTTTCAAAACCTGTTTAATTTGTTCTCCCCTTTCTGACCATTGTAGATGAAATGCCTAAACTTTTTACCCCCGTTATTAATGGGGGTTTTGCATTGAACAAATTCTTATTTAGGAACTAAAAGCACTTGTGATCAAATACTGTTGATAAATACAAGACTGACATTTCTGTTATGGCAACGAACTACTTTATTTTACCAATACGCAAATAAATATAGTTGTCTCCCAGCAAATGACCATCAGACCTGAAATTCATTTAAAAGAACCCTGCAGATGTGGTATCAAGCAAAAATACTGCTAAAGCCCTAAAATTTTAATTCCTAAAAAAGCTGTAGATAAATAGCAAGCAGACTTATATGGCGCAGCATTATCAAGGACAGTAGAGACTATATAGGTATAAGATATATACCCTTATCTTTAAGTGTTAACACTTAGGGTTTCAGGAGCAGATTCATAGAAATTAGAAAATAAAAATGAAAATAGTACAGTAAAGCCATAATGTTCTTGCTTACACTGTAAAGAATGGTATTTCATGAAACATATGGTGTTATTTAGAAAATCTGTAGTTGAAGGAATATTACCGAAAGTGATCACGTACTTATATAAAGGAAAACTTGTTTTAAAAATTCTATGGGTTTTTTTTCAGAAGATTCTCTTTCTAATGTAAATTCAAAAAGTTTAGCAATATTTTAAATTTACATTTTGGTACATTCCAAATCTAAATGCTGTCTGATGTCCTGGATTCCTCTCCATATACTCTAAAAAGGCATTTAATCAGGTGCTATCTTGAAGTCCTTTGAATAAGTAGCATTGCCATTGTTGCCCCAATTGCATCTGAAAGATGCACGTGTAAGATTGTGAGTGACTGAGAGAGCATAAGCTTGTACTTAGGTTTGATTGTTTTTCATTTATCAAGGCAAAACTGAAAATATTGACGCTTACATACAACTTTGCTTAGAAATGACACATCATTTCATTCATTGAGGACTTCTGTTTGTCTTGAAACGTGTTATTTTTTCATAGATTAAGCAAATAAAAATAACATCCTGAGCATTTTGCTGCAGCTGGCTTTGGTAAAAAAAAGATTTCATTGAAAACATTCAATTCAGTTGTTGTATCTGATTTTTTAAGAGAAGAATCCATAAACCAGCTGATTTTTTTCACCAAAATTCTCCTTAGGAATACTAGAATAATTAAAATGGCTCTTTCCTAAATTTCAACATGCAGCTGTCAAAGCCAAAACTCTCCAAGCCAGAACATTCTTATCAGTGCAGAAGAATTTGAGATCTCATTTGTAATGCAAATCGCCCAGGCAAATCGTCATTGTCAAATGCACTGGAGAACAGAATATTCCTATTGAACAAATTACTCACCAAGAATCACAGCAACAATAGTGAAGAGCACAAAGGCATTCCTCAATAAATAACTTTTAACATCATCCTTTGTTATGCTCTGCACTTTTTTTTTGGCCAAAAGTGTACGTTTCCGGACTCCTTGTTGAATGCGTTCCATCCTACTTCCAGATTTTGGATCTTCTCCGTTACCTTTAGTCATCTATCTTGAAGAAAGTTTCCTTTTACAATTAACTTCTGTCAATATCCCTTCAGAAAAACGGAAGACTTTTCCGTGGGAGGTACTGGAGAAACCTGCAAGACAAGAAATATCAAATATTGCAGTAAGATTTTAGAGGAATGGTTAGGCATAAGTTTACATGGCAGCAAATATTCTTCATGTTTCATTAAAAATTACATTAATTGTAATATCAAAGTTGTTGCTTGCAGTTTTTGATAAATAGCCTCAATCACTGTTAAAGAACTCTTTGAAAGAAGGATTATATGGACTGATTAGATGTGTGTCCTGTGTCTTCAGAAATTAATCTGAATTGCCGTCATGCTGTAAAACCCAGGAGTAACTTTTCTTTTTTTGCTGTTGCTAGGGATATACTGGTGTAAAATTAGTACAATTCATAGAAGTGTAAGGTGCTATAATGTTTAAAACTGTCTGTCAGGCTTGCTTTTCATCTGTTTAGCAGGCCCATTTTGTCTGAAATAAATTCTATCTCGCCTTCACATTAACCATTGGAGAGAAATATTTTGCTTAAACTGATACGTTTAACATGTTCTGCATTTCAGATGGTTTTAAATGGTTGAATGCAATGGCTGAATTCCTCCTTTTCACATGGCAAAACGCAG